TGCAGTGGACTGAGATCACAGCACTGCAGTCCAGCCTGGGCAACAGAGTGAGGCTCTGGGGGCAGGGGGAAGAAAGACTGGAAAGAATAAGGTACTGAGGGTGAGAGAATGGAAGCAGCTGGTAGGAGGGTAGGTTGGAGCTTGGTGAACGACTTCCAGGATCAGGGTGCTGGAAACTGAGCTGGAAAACAGTAGACAGAGATTGGATAGTGGAGGGCTGCATATCAGGGAGTGTGCAGGGTGGCCACTGATCTGCCTGGCCAAGTGCTGGTGGCTAGGGACACAGCAGGTCCAAGATGCAGGCAGGGATGGCAAGGAGCCGTGGAGTGACCCAGGGGACCATTCAGATGTTTGCCTAGGCCAGGTGCGGTGGCTCATGCCTGTAATCCCAGCACTTTGGGATTCACTTAAGGTCAGGAGTTCAAGATCAGGCTGGCAACATGGCAAAACCCCGTCTCTACTAAAAATACAAAAAGTAGCCAGTCATGGTGGCACACACCTGTAATCCCAGCTACTCTGGAGGCTGAGGCAGGAGAATCGCTTCAGCCTGGGAGGCAGAGGTTGCAGTGGGCCGAGATCGGGCCATTGCACTCCAGCCTGGGCTACAGAGCAAGACCCTGTCTCCAAAAAAAAGACGTCTGCCTGGACCCTAGTTTAAAGTCACCCAGCAACTGACTTTCCAACAACTCGGAGCAGTAATGATTGACTGAGAGTTACTTAGAAAGAAGAGCAGCCCTGGAAAAATCTGAAAGCATAAAACTACTTCCCAACCACGTAAATCTGCAAACCGCCTGGCTACACACCGGATTAGCCAGCCACCTAATCCGCCGAGCTATGCAGAAGGAGGCCTCTGCTGACCCCTGGCGGTCACCAGCCGGAGTCTGGCTGCGCGGGGACCCACCGACACGTTGCCCAGCCGTGTGGCTGGGATGGCCGGTCACCCATGGCCGTGCGGTCGAGCCTTGAGGCTCCAGGACAGTCCTGGAAGGCTTCCTGGCAGATCCGTGGGAGGAAAGCAAACAGAAGGGCGGGAGGCGGGAGGGGAGAGATCCCCCGGGATGGGTAGGGCCTCGACGCTGGGCATCGTGCGCAGGTGTGTACCGCAGGGAGCCAGCCAGACCCCCACGGACTGCCTGACCTTGGGGGAAGCCCGGCGTAGAGGAAGGGGCTGGACCCCGAGAACAGCCCTTGACTATGTGTTCTGAGAGCAAGTTTTACCCAGTTCCTCTCTATCCTCCCGACGACTCTGGGGTCAAACTCAGCAGGGCATCCGAGCCCCCACGGCGCAGCGGGCCTAGGCTGGCATGGGCGACGCGGAGCTACGCCGCCCTCAGGAAGCAGCGGAGGTGTCCAGCGGGAGAATGACCCAAATCACCGTCTAATCTCTGCTGTGAAGTGGAAGCGGGAGGAGGGAGCGTCTCATGACGGAGGGTGTGAAGACGCTAGACTGGAGGAAGCAGAAAGGCGGGTATCACTGGGGACGTTCTGAAGGTGAGCCGAGGGCGGCTACCGCGGAGGAGACCCTGGAGAGGTGGGGCCCCGCGCGGGGCAAGGGCGATGGGGTGCCACAGAGGGCTCGTTGCAAGAGGACGCGGGACGGCTGCAGCCCTGCGGAGACCGTGCCTCGACGGCCAAGGAGTGGCAGGTCGGCGGAGGCGGGAGCCAGGACCGGAGGCAGAGCGAGGCAGGAGACCAGGCAAGGTGGGGGCCACAGTGAGTAGGGGCTGCCAGGCGGGGGCCGGTGTGCGGCTAGGTGCTAGGTCGGCCTCGGCTCCCGCGCTACACCCCAGGCCCGCCAGGAGGCGCCGCTGCCCCACGAAGCCGTTCCGGCCTCTCCCGGCCACCGAAATCCCGCGCTCCGGCCTAGAGAGGCCCCGGAAGAGGCGGTGCAGCGCACTCCGAGGCCGCTTCCGGCTTTGGCTCGGCAGGAGAGGCCAGAATTGGGGGAGGACGCTGAGGGCGGGGCGTGGGTGAGAGAACCTGGGGGAGGTGAAGAACTAGGAGATTGCCCTGGGAGTGGACAAGGGGGAAAATAAGAAGAATTAGGGAGGGGCTGCGGTGGGCAGGGCCGAGGGCAGGTGGCACCCTGCAAGGTTGCACCCTGCGCAGCTCTCGATCCACTGCTGGGCCTCCTGTCTTTTTACCTCGCAAAATGCCGTCCTGGTGAGGTCCCTGGGGAGCCCACCGCTGGCCAAGACCCGGGGCAGGGCAAGGAAGGCTTCCTAGAGGTAGAGAGGTGCACGAAGGCGGGAAAGCAGATATGAGTACATTGGGAGCCCCTTTAGACCGATCTTTAGGTGTCTGAGCCACAGCCATTTGGAGGGAAGGCTGAATGGGGATCAGCCCGCCCAAACCTGCTGGAGGAAACAAAAACTCACTCCCGTTATAATTGCTCCCCGCCCCTCCCCCCCACCAGCTCTCTTCTCCCAGGAGACAGGACAGCCCTGTCCCCACAGGCTTCACTCCATTTCCCTCGAATGGTGCCCACCTCCTATCCTCCCATCTCTCGTATCCTCAGGTTCTACTCCTCATAGCAACCAGAAGGAACTTCAAAAATCAGATCATGTTGGCTGGGCGTGGTGCACGGTAGCTCACGCCTGTAATCCTAGCATTCTGGGAGGCTGAGGTGGGCGGATTACCTTAGGTCAGGAGTTTGAGACCAGCCTGACCAACATGGCGAAACCCCGTCTCTACCAAAAATACAAAAAAATAGCCGGGTGTGGTGGCGCGCCTTGTAATCCCAGCTACTCGGAGGCTGAGGCAGGAGAATCGCTTGAGCCTGGGAGACAGGCTGCAGCGAGATGAGATCGCGCCACTGCACTCGAGCCTGGGTGACAGGGCAAGACTCCATCTCAAAAAAAAAAAAAAAGTCAGATGATGTCATTCTGCCTTCAACACCCTCCAGTTGTTTCCTTCATACTTGGAGTGCAATTTAAACTTTCTTGCCCCATGGCCGGGATGATCTGGCCCCTGCTGACCTGTGCCCCTTGGTGCTAACCCACAACCTAGCCTGTTGGCATGGGACGCCATGCTGGCCCTCACGTTAGGGCCTTTGCCCTGGCTGATGGCTTTTCAAAAGCTTTTTCTCCAACAGCCTGAAGTCACTCCTGACAAGGCCTACTTCCCTAACTGTCTGCTTGGCCTTGGTCACAGTATTTGCTTTATACGGTACAGGCAGAGCAATGCTTGTGCGTCCAGAACTCAATGACCAGCTTCCCTCCCGCAACAGGTCCCTCCTCCCCTATTACTCCCTCGCTCCTAGTCACAATCTACAGGAAGCCCCTGAGCCCAGCTGGCAAGGTGCACCTTGCTTGGCTGCTTGCTGTTGCATCACCTTCATTAGGGCTGTTTTTGCTCCTTCATTAAATTAAATTCCAGGAAGCAGTGCTAATGACAGCCCTAACGAGTCGCCGGAGAGACTCCCAGCCCCAGCCTTTGGAAAGCATGGCAAGGAGGACTAGGCAATAACATGAACAAAGCAGTAGCTCCTGGGAATAGAATTGATTATCATTTCCCAGGCCCTCCAAGGATCCTGGGCTTCCCAGGGTAGGTGGCCTTTGGAGACTGCCTATGCAACAGGCACAGTGACAGGTTGTACCATGAACTCTTCAAGGACAAAGAGAAGGAGGGAGGTTAAGTTTAGTCCTTGGCCCCAAAGCCCTGAGAGCTCCTGAGTTCCCTGCAGGGCCTGGGTAGCTCCTCCCCCGTCATATAGGAGCACCCTGAATGCCAGAACCAGTTGGGTTTGTAGGGCTAGGCATGGATCACTGGCTTGGAGATGCTGGTGCCCCTACCTCAGCATCCCCTGGAGACTTGGGAATCCCCTGTGTGGCTTGTTCCTCCGTGATGCCTCATGGCAGTCCCCTCTCACACTAGTGTTTTCTTGCTCTCACTATTGTGGCCAGGCTGGGCTCCTCTCTGGTTCGGGAGCCTCCAGCTCCTTCCCAACACAGGGCCCTTGCACTTGCCGCTGCCTCTGTCGTCACTCTCTTCTGGCTTGTTACAAGACTGGTCCTTCCACATGATTCAGAGATCCCCTCCTCAGACTGTCTTCTCCTGCACACACCTCCCAGTGGCTGTAGAGTCACCCTATTGATTTCCTCTGAAATGGTGAAATTTATTTCCCTGTTTGTTTGGTGTGTGTTCCTCAAGGACAGGGCCCAGTTGCCTCTTTTACCATAGTGTTCTCAGCACATTGGCAGGCAATATGTTCAGGGAACAGTGGTTGAACAGATGACCCCTTCCTCTGGATCCTCCCGCACTGACCCCCAGCCTCCACCCCTGTGTCAGGTTGGGCCCCCTTGCCTAATCCAGATGCCTATGAGGAAGGGGTGCTGGGGCCTGAATTCTCCAGGTCAAAGCCAATGATCTGTGAAGAGGGTGGATGACCACTGGGAAGAGGGGTCTGCCAGGGAGCAGGGAGGGAGGGCAGGATGGCTGACTTCACTTTCAGAACTTCCACTGGGCTAAGAAGCAGGAAGGGGAAAGCGCAGGAGATGCACCAGGAAGTGGAGTCTGCCCCAGGGCAGTAAGGAGGGAGCAAGCTGTGGCCACCCAGGTCTAAAAGCAGTAGCTGCAAGGCTGTGATTGAGTTGGTCACAGGTCCTTGGCGGGGGACTCCCTGTCACCTGAGACCCATGGAGGTAGGGTGGTCAGGATCCTGAACTCCGGGCATCCCTGTGGGGTCCTACCTGGTCTTGGACTCTGGGCAGGAACAGGCACACCCACCCCGAAACTGCCTTTGGGGAAGTGCTAGCAGCTTCCCCTTCCTGGAGCCTGCAGGCAAGCATGTCACAGCCCACTGAGAGGGTCTTCGTTCCTCACCCTGCTCAGGGCTACTGCTTGATAGGAACTCAGGCCAAGCTGGACCTGCCGTGCTGCCCGTGGTGAGCCCCAAGGCTATTCTGGCGGTAGGGGTGAGCCAGCAGCTGCCACTTCTTCATTTCAGCTGAGATGCCACCCTCATGTCATTGCATTGTCCTTTATGGTCTCGTCCAAGTGGTGCTGGGCCTGGTGGCCATGGGGACAAGTCATACCTCCTCCGGTGCTCATGAGGCCCTGGCTAGGCAGCTTCCCTCTGCCCCCAAAATGACCTCTCCTGAAAGGACTCCTGGATTCCTGAGTATGAAGAAACCGGGATGCCCACGATGTACCTCACCAATGACTGTGACTGGGTCCTGGCCCACTCTGGACCTCAGCTGACTCAGCTGCAAAGCAAGGGGTTTGTTTCTCCAGCTCTCAGCCTTGATTTTCTCACTGGCCCTTCCCCAGACCCCTGCCTCTCAGTCCTACTGCCCTTCCTTTGCATGTACTCTTCCATATTCTTGCAATATTCTTCCTCACTGTTCTTCTCCCTCTAGTACTCCCTGCATCACCTCTTCAAAGAAAGCTTCTTGACCTTCCCAGGCACCACTGGTTTCTCTCTTGTCTGTGTATACAGCTACATGAATATTTCCATAGGGGCAGCAGCTCCCAGCTCCAGGATGAAGAGACTGATTGATTGATTGATTGATTGATTGATTTTGAGACCGAGTCTACCTCTGTTGCCAGGCTGGAGGGCAGTGATGCGATCTTAGCTCACTGCAACCTCCGCCTCCCGGTTTCAAGCGATTCTCCTGCCTCAGCCTCCCAAGTAGCTGGGATTACAGGCATGAATTGCCATGCCCAGTTAATTTTTGTATTTTTAGTAGAGATGGGGTTTCACCATGTTGGCCAGGATAGTCGATCTCCTAACCTCATGATTCTCCCACCTCAGCCTTCCAAAGTTTTGGGATTACAGGCGCGAGCCACCGCACCCGGCCTTATTCATTTAAATTGACACGTATTTACCTGCCACCCTGCAAGAAGCCTGGAATTAGGGATGTGAGTGGGATAGACCCACCACCAGAATAGTGGGATGTGGCTGGGGAAGGGGAAGCCCCAGGACAATGGGACTCAGAGAGGCCCAGCTCACAGTCAGGGAATGAAAGGTGGGGAGGAGGGATTAATTTAACAGGGTAGAGGGATGGGAGGGAAGATCCGGGGATGGAGAGAGCAAGGGAAGCCAGATGGTTGGAGTGCCAGTGTGTTGCACGTGGAGGGACATGAGGTGGACCCTTGAGTGGAGACAATCATAAAGCCTTACAGAAATCGCTATTATTGGGCCAGGCACGGTGCCTCATGCCTGTAATCCCAGCACTTTGGGAGGCTAAGGCAGGAGGATTGCCTGAGCCCAGGAGTTCAAGACCAGCCTGGGCAACATGGTGAGACCCCATCTCTATTTAAAAAAAAAAATGGTGGCTCACGCCTGTAATCCCAGCACTTTGGGAGGCTGAGGCGGGTGGATCACGAGGTCAGGAGAACGAGACCATCCTGGCTAACACGGTGAAACCCCGTCTCTACTAAAAATGCAAAAAATTAGCCTGGCAGTGGGCACCTGTAGTCCCAGCTACTTGGGAGGCTGAGGCAGGAGAATGGTGTGAACCCGGGAGGCAGAGCTTGCAGTGAGCCGAGATCCGGCCACTGCACTCCAGCCTGGGCGACACAGCGAGACTCCATCTCAAAAAAAAAAAAAAAAATGGGGGACGGCGCATGGTGGTTCACGCCTGCAATCCCAGCACTTTGTGAAGTCAAGGCGGGCAGGTCATCTGAGATCAGGAGTTTGAGACTGGCCTGGCCAACATGGCAAAACCCCATCTCTACTGAAAATACAAAAATTAGCTGGGTGTGGTGGCGGGTGCCTGTAATCCCAGCTACTTAGAAAGCTGAGGCACGAGAATCACTTGAACCCGGGAGGCAGGGATTGCAGTGAGCTGAGATCGTGCCACTGCACTCCAGCTTGGGCAATAGAGCGAGACACAGTCTCAAAAAAAAGAAATCGCTACTATAACACCTCACCCTTATTGAGAGCTTCCTATGTGCCATGTACATTCTGTATGTTTTACATGTTTCCTCCTGAAGTCCTGTCCTCTGCCTGTGCTTTGGGTATGTGTAACCATCAGGCCCATTTTACTGATAAGAAAACTGAGGCACAGGGAGTTTCTGGTACTTGTCCAAAGTAACAAGTAGCTGGCAAGTTTGCAAACTGCTCCTCAGAGTCTTTGCTTCCAACTGCCAGCCTACAGCCTCCACCTGCTGCAGAGTCCAAACCAGTGTGTGTGGGGACTTTATCTATCGTTAGGGCATTGGGGAACCACAGAAGGTTTCTGAGCAAGGAGGTGATGTGATTTCTTTCAGTAGGATGCCCTTGGCTGCCATGTGGAGGATAAATTGTAGGGAATCAGGAGAGCCAAGGAAGAGGCTAGAGTCCTAAGCTGGGAGATAGTGGTGACAGAGAAGAAATACAGATTGAAGGGGAAATTGAGGTAGGGAAGAGGCTGGCGGCATATAGGGGTAGGGGAGGGGAGTCATTGCTGTGGTTGGTGGGGGGACCATGAAGTGGTGGAGAGCCTCGGAACAGGGGCCAGTGGGATGGGATGTACCCAGTTCTGGACAGTGTGGGTTTGAGGTGCCTAGATGTCTCGGGGAGGCTTCAGAGCAGTGGTGGACATGGGGTTGGCAATCAAGGAAGTCAGGCTGGAGAGGACCTTGTGGGGTTCTGAGCCCCCGGAGTGGGAGGTGTATGACTGGAGTGGCAAGCAGAGGCCTGGCCATAGCCTTGGGGACCCCATGGAGATGGAGAGGGAGCAGCTAGCAGGGTGGAAGCAAGGGTTGCTGGACTCCCTGGGAAGAGCATAGGACTGGAAAGGAGCAGCTAACTGGTGGGAAGGGTGCCATAACCACAGGACCTGGCCTGGGATGGGGGAAGGCCATGCCTTCCAGTGGCCGCATCCTGCCCTGCCTCCATAGATTGGGGTCTGTGTTGTGCCCACCTACTGAGAGCAGGGCCTCCAAGGGGCTGACAGTTTCTCCCTGTTGCCTGGCAACTGTGAGAGCTGTTGGCTGTTGCTAGGAGCAGGCTAGAGAGGCCAGAGGAGCGAGGATCAGCTCTCAAGCCTGGGGCGGGGTGACGGGTAGAGGGAAGGGGAGGGGCCCACCTTGGAAGCCAGTCTGTGCGTGGACAGACTGTATTCTTGGCCATGTGTACCCATTTTTGTAGTGTGTTCTGTGGATCTGAGGCACGTTGGAGGCTGACCTATGTGTAGGTGTATACAGCGTATCTGTGGCCCTGGTGGGCGTTATGTGTCCTCAACATGTTGCACACCCATGGCAGGGCCTGCTTGAGTTTCACAGCAGTGGTGGACATGGGGCATCATATCCCATGTCTCAGGACAGGAGGGAGCCCTGAGGGAGTCATTGGAGGACTTCCAGGTCAATGACTCCTCAACAAGAGAGACATTCAGATAGGGATATGCAGACACTCCAGGGAGAACAGCCAGCCTGGGGATTGGGAGCTGGAACAAAATGTGTACCAAGGTTCTTTTTTTTTGAAACGGAATCTTGCTCTGTTGCCCAGGCTAGAGTGCAGTGGTATGATCTCGACTCACTGCAATCTCCAGTTTCCAGGTTCAAGCGATTCTCCTGTTTCAGCCTCCTGAGTAACCGGGATTACAGTCACATGCCACCACGCCCAGCTAATTTTTTTTTTTTTAAATGGGGTTTCGCTCTTTTTGCCCAGGCTAGAGTGCAATGGCGTGACATTGGCTCACTGCAACCTTCGCCTCCTGGGTTCAAGCAATTCTTCTGCCTCAGTCTCCCAAGTAGCTGGGATTACAGGCACCCACCACCATGCCCAGCTAATTTTTTGTGTTTTAGTAGAGACAGGGTTTCTCCATGTTGGTCAGGCTGGTCTCGAACTCTTGACCTCAGGTGATCCGCCCACCTCAGCCTCCTGAAGTGCTGGGATTACAGGTGTGAGCCACCGCACCCAGCCTAATTTTTGTAATTGTAGTAAAGACAAGGTTTCACCATGTTGGCCAGGCTGGTCTTGAACTCCTGACCTCAAGAGATTTGCCTGCTTCAGCCTCCCAGAGTGCTGGGATTACAGGCGTGAGCCACCATGCCCAGTCAAAATGTTTTCCAAGGTTCCAAGGAAGGGGTCTATGCTAAACACCGGCCTGTTGGTGGCAAGCACCCTGTCTTGCGTCAGGGGACTTCCCTGTCTTTGGGCTGGGGCCTCCTGGCCTGATGGCACTGGGGCCACACAAAATGCCTTCGTGGTTCATCTTTGGCAGCCCCTTCAAATGTCCAGTCGAGGTTGGGGCTCTGGGCACAGGATCAGAAAGACTTGAAATGTTCAGCTAGAAACACTGCTGCCTCCACCCCACCTTTGCCTGGCCATAGGGTTGCAGCCATTGCCCAGTGGGGACAGGCCACAGGAGGGTGGGATGTGGGATCATGGCCACCTCCAGACGTGGACAGGCCATGGAAGAGACAGGTCATAAGATTGTGGCCACTTTTGTTTCTAGAAGTCCAGTGGCAACTCCTTCCTCTTTTTTCCCTCCCAACCCCCTCACCCTGCCTGCTCGCCCTCCCCTCTTCCTCCCTCTCCACCCTCTCACCCTGTCTCCCTTTCTCCCTTGGGTCCTGATTGCCTGGTCCCAGATTGGAGTCCAGGATGGCTGCCTGCAGAAGAATGCCTCCTGGTAGGTTGGGGAAGGATGGATATGAGAAGGCACCCAGCTAAAGGAGACAGCCTAGGCAAAGGTGTAAAGATGGAAATCAACTTTTTTTTTTTCTTTTTAGATGGAGTTTTGCTCTGTCGCCCAAGCTGGAGTGCAATGAATGGCGTGATCTCGGCTCACTGCAACCTCCGCCTCCCGGGTTGAAGCAGTTCTCTTGCCTCAGCCTCCTGAGTAGCTGGGATTACAGGCGCCCACCACCACGCCCAGCTAATTTTTGTATTTTTAGTAGAGACGGGGTTTCACCATATTGGCCAGGCTGGTCTCGAGATCCTGACCTCAAGTGATCCGCCCGCCTCGGCCTCCAAAAGTGCTGGGATTACTGGCGTGAGCCCCTGGGCCCGGCCTTTGTTTTTTCTTTCTCGATTTGCTGCAACCCAGAGGGAGAAGGCGGTTTACCGCCTTAAGACAGAGAAAACCGCAGTCCAGAAAGGCTCCCGAGTTCTGTAGATTCCAAAACAAGTTTATTGGACTCATTAACTTTAACAAATGACAAAGACACGCCTCCTCCACCTAACTCGCCCAACTCACAGAAGCTCAGAGCGCTGGTTCCTGCTCTGTCCTCGAGGGCACCGGATCCCCACCCTCGGACTAACAGATCCGCCCTCCCGGCTGTCCAGCA